ATTGTCAGGATGAATGACCAAAACCGTAATCACCTAATAGACTATTAATCTATCAAAATGGCTAGTGAATCTTCGGCTAGTTTAAAGGCAATTATTATCGGGATTGTACTGCATATGGAGAACAAGTAAAAACTGAAATGAAATAAATAACTGTTAGTTTGTACTGTAAGGAGGTGCTTAGAGGTAATTGACAGGACATCCTAGACCTAAGTTTCATAATATTTAGTACTAACCAGGAAGGTGATCTTGAGGCAAATGACATTTACTACCGTAGAGAAAATTTGTAGCTCAGATGGATGATTGTTGTGGTGTTTCGTTCTTTGAGCTGGATCTTTCGGTTGCGAGACTTTCATTATTCTTCTGAACATCATCAGCACAAACTTTGTGCTGGGAACGAAACACTACAACAATTTACTACCGTATTTGATCCCCTGTCGCTCAGCTTTACAATCAAAAACGATACCACTGAGCTGTTTGAGTCGCGACTGACCTTCTGTAGCATTGAGATGGGTTTTTAATTGGTTGATCACTGGATAGTGACTAATGTTATGCATGTCATATCCTTCTTTGTGTTAATTGAATTATATCTATCAAGTCTCATTGTGGCAACTAACCTAGGTAACTCGACACCATGAGCATCATGTTGAGATGTAAGGTGTTTGGAGGTAGTCTTCAGGAAGCCTGATCGATAAGATTCGACCAGCACTAAGAAGGACCTGACACACTGCTGTTCTTGCAATAATTAACATACCATTCGATACAAGCCAGCGCAATGATAAACAGTGGTATAAGGACAAGACAGCTAAGTTATTCTCTGTGGTTCAGCCCAGCTAACTGGAGCAAGATGTCGGAAGTCAGCAGGAATGTGAAATCCGTAAGCAGACCCGATCAAACGAATAACAAGCATTCAATTTTAACATAATATATACAGTGCAAAATAGTCCTTGCTATAGTTACAAGACGGTGCACTACAAGAGGAAACTAACCAATGAGGTTTATGGTTTTTCCAAGTGGGAAACATTAATTGAAGGTACTAGGAGGAGCTTGTAGACAGAAAATAAGAGATTCATATTCCCAAAAATAAAATACAAGCTTAAGAGGCTTACGAAGCGATTTCTAGCGATCTAGCATCTCCAACACAGACGTAACATTAGTCATTACCCAGTGATCGAACAATTATCATTAGGCTTCATTTATCACAGCTTGATCTCGGTCGAGGAGCGGACAGTTATTTTTTACAAATATAGAACTTCTCAGTGATGTGTACTCTGGACCCAACCAGAGATTGGACCCATGACATTCATTTCTCGATAACTATGCTGACATCCAATGATCTAACTCAATTTAATTTTATATACAGAGTCAAGAACATTCCGTTTGATTGTGCACAAACTGTTTCACTCCCGATACACTTGAATAATTGACTTATTCTAATTTAGAAACCACAGGAAATAGATACCTTCAATATGTTAGAAGAGTCCTACCTGTTTATTGAATACAAATGAATTAATGATACTGTAGGTTGATCATCTTGATAAAAATAAAAAGTGAAATTATAAACTGTTAAAATCTTTCATGGTAACCAAATAATACTTATTTCTACAAGGTTTGAAGGCTTTCAGCAAGATCTTGTGTAAACTTGACAACTTTTGAAGAGCTTCATTAAAAGAGCAGTCTTTTTATTGATTGTCCGGCTTACATCAGTCCTAAATACAATCTAAGAGTGATAGGACAAGAACAATTAATTCCATTTCGACTCAGTAGTTAGAATGTTTTGTACTAGTTGTAAGTTTTAGAAGTTCTGAAATCAATCACCATGATAATCAAAGTTGCATACAGCCGAAGAATTCTGTTATGAATTTCTTTGAGTTTGATGAGTAACTAGGACCTCGCTAACAATGACAACTAAGAATGCCAAAGTGATCAATAGCCACTGAGAAGTCCTCTAGTTCCCTGAACTCCCGATTAAGATGTTGAGAAGACTAGTAAAATATTGCACCCAAATGCCCCAACATCCACTACTACCGACAAAGGTGGGGAAAATCGGCTCTTGCTCTCTAAATATTCCCGTATGGCCACAAGTATGTAGCCACTAACCGTTACCTCATCATGGAGGTAGGTGTCATTTAAGAAGTTGAGAGGGCGAAAAGAGAACGTTCGGCGCTTTAACAAGGTTGGTGGATATGGAGGCCCCACAAAGGGAGCTAGAAAACCCTGGTTCCTAACCTATGGTATACACGAGCTTCAGGATCCTGAGGGAACAGACCGTATATGAACCTAGTGTTGGTCACTGTCTAATATCGAACCATACTTCTACCGCTGACCCAATGGCTTGTAGATTATGCCTCTGAGTTAAAGACTAAGAGAGTGGCTTTCTAAGATAACCATCTTCGAATTAATTTCAAGTTGTATCCTAACCCGCAAAGCAAACTGAATGATGACTATAACCAAAAAAATTGTTGTCACTTTAATCCTCACTCTCTCAAATTATACTCGTAACTGTTCCTTAACATTAGTTTTTCATTATTTATTGAGTCACTTGTCTGTTCTCTTATTGCCATTCTGTGTATTCTTTATTCTATATTTCATTCATCAGCTCTATTTTAGTGGAAATTCCGTTCTGCCTAAATGGTCTAAAGTCACTGACCGTTCAAAAGTTGGATGATACCACTGAATACGAATCTTGAAACAACCTTTCTAAAATCACATATGCCATTCAAAATGGCCCCCTTCAACGTTCACACACTAATGCGGATTAGACAACAGATGGGATTGACCTTGTCTGTAGAAAGTTCAAATGTCGATGTCTGCTTTCTATGCGAAATCCATATTCAAGACTAGTGAAATATTACAAATTCGCTCTCCATCTGTCCCTTCGAAAAGCTTATTTCTCTGGAATTCATCCATGAACCGTGAGACACCTTCATCTGGTTTAACTGGAGTTGATGTCGCACTAGGCACTAGAGCTGAGGCAATGCTAATTGATTGGATTCTCAATGGTAGTTGATTATGTGCTGTTAAATTGGAAAGCTCCATCACTCTTGTAAGTGAGCAGATAGAAGCGGTCGAAAGGTTTGAGTATCTGGATAGCTCTATAAGTGTTGGTGTTTGCGTGAGTGACAGGATCAATTCATGTATAGTGGGAGCTAGAATGGCTTTCGCCGATCTTGACCATCTTTGGTGCCTTCATGATGCTAGTCTGGCTGTAAATAACGTGTCAGTAAGAGCACTTTCACTTTATGCTTGTGGAACTTGGCCTCTCCAAGTAGAGGATATCAAACGACTCTGTGTTTGACCCTCATTGTCACCATCTTGAAACATTAACTTCAGTGTCTTGGATATATGCTGTGAATTTATTCTCAGCAAGTTCTCTATCGTGCATTATTTCCCAACGCTGGGACTGACTGTAAGAGAAGAGGTGGTCAGTATATGATATTGTGTCGTGGGATGAAATAAAGCTGTACAGGACTGGGTTCTATCGGCCCTTCACGATTTGTTCGTTTAGATCTTTAAATATAGTGCAACACTTGGTTTAAGAAGTTATTAGACATGGTTCAAAAATGAAGTTGATCAAGCAAAATTCGTTAACTGAAAGAATCCTTTCTGATTATTTTTAAAACCCAACTGTTTCTCCAAGTATTATTTTTATTACTGTTATTATCAAACCTATTAAATTCGTGGATTTTAGGCAGTGATTTTAACTGCAAGTGAAACGTTACCTTGTTGACTTTCATCATATTTAAGGCTGGTCATCTATGTCTGTGATGATATGTATAACGACTACATATAGAAATATAAGAATTAGATAGTTCATGTTTATAAACTGACTATTCGTTGAATGAAGTAGTGATATCGCAACATCAACACGTTGTATATGCTAATTCAACCATTCTGCGTATATCGTGTGTTAATCTCAATAGCCAGATTAATCTTAACTTATATTATGAAGAGTAGCTGCTCATTATGGATGGTGATGTAGTCTTTATTTTCAAACATTATATTATTTCACAATAAACACAGTAACATACGGTTTTATTTTACACAAACATATGCAGCTACTTAAAATTGTATAGAGTAGTTGTCATATGAAATAGCTTAATAAAATTTAATATCTATCCACCTAGAGGAAATCCACTTCACTGCAGAACAATACTAAATAAAAATTCAGTTTCTAACTACTCATTTAAATTTAAGTATAAAGTTGTTTTTCTAAATGTTTTCTAATTTTTAATAATAAATATATCCACTCCAGGTTATGATAACATTTCCAGGAATTGAAGCTGTGTAGGACATGAGCATTGTAATTTACTGATTACATGATAGATTTTTTAATCTTTACCAAAATTATTAATGAGTTAAATATGACTATTCATCATAAGTTATTACGTATGACATTAAAAAAAATCTTAGTCACGTAGAAATAAAAAAAGTAACGACATTTTTTAACCTTCTAAGTAAGTGTTATTGACATGCGTTATTTGTTGAATTAGGGTCAACAAAATGTTGAATAATACTTATTATTGATTACTCATTCTAGAAGATTTCTCACTATCCTAGAAACTTCATATTATTAAGTCATAGTTGTAACGATTAATTATGGCTAAACAATAATCAACAAAGTATTGGCTAAATCATTGTTTAAAAATGTTTTCAGCTGATCTATCTATCTATCTATCTATCCACATATCTATCTATCTCTAACTTTTGCAGTGTATCATGTTAATCAGAGTGATTAAATGAGTTATTTAATGTTCATCAGTGCATAGTCAGTCGTCACATAATCAATGTTATTTTTCATAGAAAATATATATTCAATGTAAAGCGTGATTGAAATTGATCAATACAATTTATTCAGCTGAATATTCATTGGTAATTGTCTAATGACATAATGAATAGTTTTATACAGAAAAGAAAAGATTAACAACTCTCTTTTTTTTTCTCTTAAAGAAAAGAGATGAACATGTATTTCTTTTTTTTTTTTTGATTTATTTGGATTAAATTTAACCTGCTTTAAATAGTATCACATAATATCCTGCTAAATGAAAATATATAAATCCACCTTCTTCATGTGAAGTGTAACTGGAAAAAAAAGAAAGAGAATGAAAGTAAAATAGAATTAAAAGAAAAAAAAAGAAAAGTAATTAAGATTATAGTGTATTAGTTGAATAGTAGTAGTATCATAAACTATTTTATGAACTAGACGTCTTGTTATTGATTTTTTTGTTCAGATTTAGCCAATCACTTTAACTTGTTTTATTAACTATAAGCAATAATCAAATAATTGCAACTTGGAAGAAAAATCAATTTTTCACTATCATATGACAAAAGATTTTGCAAATTAGATAAATGAAAGTCATTACAAAAAAAAAATGAAAATAAGAATTGATTAAAAGTGATAAATAATAGTAAGAAGAATTAATGAATTTTAGTGGAATGAGATTATAAACACATCTGCGGATAACATAAGATATATGATTTCAGAATTAATGGGATAGTAAACAGATAACAGAATAATAAATTAATACATAAAATAAGATACAGGAATACAAGAGTTATGCTACACCATGGGAAAGATAGCTCATAGATTAATAATAAGACAGTCAACACTATAACAGATTCCTTACAATAGACTACATTGCTAACTCATGGATGGAGGACAGTATTTGATAACTTCAACATCTTAGGGCGAGGACAGAATACAATAAAGTAGCTTGGATAACCTAGCTATACTATCTCATACACAACAACAGATGCAGCTCAAGACAGACAGAGTAACGACAGCTTCTACAGCACTGAGTCTCAAAATATAAAGCAGGATCGTGAGATACAACGCACAGAATACCAACAAAATCATACATGACTTAGAAGCTATAGGAGAGCTGGGAACTATAAAGTAACTGAACAGTACCATTGATAAACAAGGAGGATCTGATGCAGATACAAAGAGATGGATTAACAAAGTTAGGGCATCATTTCTACAATTGAAGAACATCTGTAAATTCAAATAACTCTCAACCAACAAGAAAGTTAGAACTTCCAACGCAAATATCAAGGCAGTTCAATTGTATGGAACTGAAACTTGAAGAACTACTGCTACTATTATTCAAAAGGTACAAATATCACAGACAGGACTTTTCAGATAACCTAGATATCTTATTTCATGCACAAAATCAAGTACAGAAGAAGACGAATAGGTAGAAGCCTCTGCAGCAGTAGGTCTCAACATGCATAAAGGAAAAAGCGAGATCGTTAGATACAACACAACATGCACCAACTAAATCACACTCGATGGAAAAGCTACAGGAGATGTAGAAAGCTTCACATACCTAGGCAGCATCATTGATAAACAAGGCGGATCTGATGCAGATATGAAGTGACAGATTTAAAAAACCTAGGGCAGCATTTCTACAATGGAAGAACTTCTGAGACACAAAACAACTGTCGATCAACACCAAAGTCACAATTTTAAAAACGAACGTCAATAAAAATTCTATTGTATGGGGCGGAAAGTTTGAGAACTACGAAGACTGTCATACAAGTGTTTATTAACAGCTGTCTACACAGGATATTCAAGATCCTTTGGGCAGTGGAAGGTGAAGGCTGAATTCAAAAGAAGGAATGACGATGTCGTTTATGAAAATATTAACAGCTTTAGGCTTAATTTATCCAGCTCAGAGAACGACAATTCCAAAATTATCCACTGGAGTTATGTACGTTTACTATCTCGGGAGATAATTGAAAAATTAGCGAAGCTTAACATTTTATGAAAAGTGCTTGGTGCGAGAGAATAAATCGTTAAATTTTTATTATAATAGTACCACTTGTTTTGATGATAAGGCTCCAAGTTTCCTGAACTTACCCAAACTTGCGCCTTAATTTTAAGAGGATAAATATATCATCAGGCATTACATTTCTAGGCTACTGTACTAGCTGACATGGAAATATAACTAACTAGTATGGGTTTAAACTGTTTATCATTAGTGTCGGGGTTAGAAAGGATATATTATCTTATGGACTTTCATTAACATTATTGTGGTGCGAGCTACTTATGAGTAGTATATGACGTGAGTGTCAACGTAATGTCTGGCAGCAGAAGATGGGGGAGGATCAAGAAAGGAAGAGTTAGAAAACAATGGAATTTGTATGAAACGCATGAATAGTGACAATGGATTGATGTTTTGCAACAGGAACAGTCCAGTTCGATATGATGGACTGATGTTTTGCAAATTAACGATTTACGATATGGTTTTCCGATTTTACTGAGTAACTCTGTAATTTTCGTTAAATACAATTCGGTTGCCCCACCTGAGTTCTCGCTCACTACATTATTATTATTCAAACTATCCCCTTTTCTTGTTGACTCTCATAGTGGCTGGAGTGCTGGGAACTTCTTAAATTTTTATTCATTCCTTACGTTCGTAGTTTAAGTTAGGTTATCACTTCTAATAGACCATTTTATTATCTGAATTTCAAAGTTATGATCAATAGTATTTCATCAATAGTGCTGTCTACATGTGTTTTTCTTTTCAAGAATCTCTCTTGCAAAAACCAACCTCCTTATTCTTCGTGGAACATTAATTCTATTAGGTCACTACACATATTCTTGTTATTAATCTGTTAGCTTTTGTCTCCATCATAGATTATAACAAATGATCAGTTGTTCCAAATGAAGTGAATCGTCTTAATTATGTTTACTCTTTATTTTGATAGAACAGTGAGAGGACGTAATTGATCTGATCAATTTATAAAAGGGACTAATTGTTTTAAATTACTCTTTATTGTTTGAAATAAATTTAAGCTAATGTAACGTAAATACATTTAACATCATATGCTAATTAAAGTTTTCAATAAAACTATTTCTTCGAAATACTCTGTCTAGAAATGTGAGTGTTAAAATATCCAGGGTTCTTTTTTTTTTCTTGTATACAAAAACCATAACAATAGGCTTGTGTCAATGAAGATTAGAATGTAGAATATCTCAAAATTAGCTTGACCATATATGGTAAATATAATTTTTTTAAAACAATAACTAATCATTTAAGTAAAATTCTGTCATGACATTCAGTCTAAAAGTCTGTTATATAATCATCAAAAGAGAATGTTGGAAATGAATAACTGAATCCAATTTGCAACCAGAAACATTTGTAGAGGTTACAACTTTTAAACGTTTCGTGATATACTGACTAGCTGTTATATCAATTCATAATAGCAAAGTATTTACAAACGACGATACATACAAAGTTACAAGCAGCTTTACTAGCCATCTTATGAAACTCTGCAAATATAATGAATGTATACCTTAAAATTTCACAATAGGGTGATAGCTAGCCTTGAACCTACTTTGAATCTGTATTTTTCTTCAATAGCGAATATAACAATGCTCTCTAGATGACAAGTTTCTCAACTGTGTAAATGTAATATGAATTCTGAACGTGTTAGGTTTCAAGGAAGTATTATAAAAAAACTGACAGTCTTGTATATAGTAGAAACATTACAACCTTATGCGAATATGATCCACTTGAGTTTAGGCTTAGGTTATGAAGAGAAGATTTCATTTATCACACTGAATTAATCAATCTGAGCAGATATTTAGATAACTTAAATAGTAGATGTTCGATTCCTCCTCTCTCGTCTAACAATTGATTTTAATTCATGATAAAAAATTTAATTAAAATTGAATTGACGTTCTTTTGCACATTGTTATATTAATAATCTAAGTTAAATTTGATTTTCATGGCTTTAAAAATTTCAGTAAAAAATATTCATAACTCTCCAACAGACGATCGCTACAAATAATCCTTCTGTAAAAAGAACAGGTTACATTCGAGAATATTATGTTACTAATGAATATTTGCAGCTGTTTCAAATCTGATATAGAATCGATTTGTGGTATGAAAAAGGATTTGAAACCAACAGAGTTACATTTAAATGACCAGCTTTTTTAAATATATTAAGTATAAAGCATGTGAATAGTGTGTAAATTACTATTTGAACTATGATTAATTTACAGTGGTTTAAATCTTCCGTTTGTTGTTTTCACGGACCACAATCTCTTTTCAACAGATGTCCATTCTGAGCTGATTGTCTCAATAGTGTCATCAATTAAATGAACTGATACTATATTTATATGCAAGCTGATATAGTGAACAAGGGATAAATCAATAAAAGTACGCCATTTTTCCATTTCGAATGATTCTCATTACTGAATCAAATGTTTTGCCTTTTGATATCTAAGTCTTGATTTAATTTTCATGTGTAACTATAGACCAGTCATATTATTCATATCATATATCAATTGAGAGGATTGGTAATAATTCATACTAACTTAACAATATGTGTAGTTAGTTAGTCTTTGTTGTTGTTGTCGTAAACCACAAATATGGAATTGATCAATATACTTTAGAATAAAAATTAAAGTAAAGCAGAGATTCGAAGAGATCAGAATCAAAGATTCAAAAAAAAAAAATCATTCTGCATATCAATACCCTATACAAAAAGAAGATTCTAAGATCATCGAAAACACAAGGAGAACTTCATTGATATTAACTCACAGTGTTAAAACATATCAATTACTTTATAATTTAAATGAATCTCATGAATATTGATTGGTAAAAATGAGTTATATCTCACTTACCTACCAAATGATTTACCTACAATACAATGCCAACGATTTCCATGCATACGTTCAAATTCAATTTTACAATATTGTGCAATTCGACATTCTTCTTTAAAATTTTCCATACCTTGATAGCATAGATCAACAGCATCTTGTTGCATTTCCACTGGCATATCAACATATTTAACCACAGCTATCGGTTTATCCAATGTCATTGGTAGTAAATGAAATGAGTTTAAGAATTCAAGTCAACTTTATGATTTGATTAAATACTAACTATATATCTGTTCCGTAGAGTTTAATTATAGAATAATAACTTTTATAGTATAAATCAAAATAGTTTATAATTCGATAATGATAATCTTAATAATAATAATAACAATGAAAAAAGGAACACTAAACACAATTGACAATCACAATGATCAAATATATCGACTATGCATTTCTATTGTTGTTAATCTTAATCAAATTTGATTGTTTTTATTAAATGCATTCAATTTCATTATTGATGAAAGTTATCATATTTATGTTTCTATTTGATTTGTGAATAATGGTGATAATGAGACTAATTACTGATAGGCTTAGATTATCTCACCGTACGAGGTTATGTTTAAGGTAAATTAACAAAGTACAATGAAGAAATAAAAAAAAAATTAATGTTTCTTATTTTACTTAATGTTGACTAATAACTTTTTTTTTAATTTTGAAAAAATAAATTAATTTTGAACATACATAAAAGTACTTTAAATGTACTAGCTTTAAATAATAAGTTTCATATTTTTTTTTCTCGTTATCTTCCCTTTTATATAGACATACATATATATATGACCTTGACGTTAAATTCAGCATAAAAAAATTTACACTTTATCTTCAATTAGCACAGTTACACTGAAGCTCATAGATGAACATGTGTTACTTCAAAATTTCATAGATGGTTTACTAATGACTATCAACTATGATGAAATACAACGCTTTAACTATATCATATCAACAATTCCTTAAAACCACTTAACAATTAGATTGTGTTTGAAAATAACTGTAAAGGTATTTTTACTAATTGCCATTAGTGCTAACAATACTGTTGTACATGTGGATCCATATAATGACTTCAATACAATTGAAATTTTTATTCAATATACAGTCTCAACTTCATATATCTTGTCATTTTTCTAATAACTAACTATCCGTATTTGTTATGCTGAACTACTGTAATAATCTAACCTCATTCTATCAGATCCTAACACATCCTGGATCTGATCTAACTAAGCATGGTAATTTCTTAACGTAGTTAGTTGTATTATATCATACAATATGTCTAAGGTTGTATTTGAGATACAACTACACTTTCTCTTCATGTAATTAAATTAAATTCAACAGATATACAAAATAATCTACAAATAAATTGTATGTTTTATCTGATCTTTATCAAAAAAAGAAATTGCGTAATTTACTTAATGGAAGAAATCTAAAACAAACTGATTTTAACTGTGAAACATTACCACAACAAATAATCTTTTTACAAACTAGTTTAAAAGTATTGGATTAATGATATAAATTCGAAAATATGCAACAATATGAATGAGAAATCAATTGTGCAGAATGTGAAATCTAAAAATGAATTTAAAAAAAAACATTGGAAGGAAGATCAAAGGACAATTTCAGGGCTTATATAATTGGACAAGTTTATTTTACTAGATTACTTGCTGAGAACATAAAATTTAAGTGTGTTATGATGAGTTGAACAGTGGAGTGATTGAGGCTACAATAGAGTGAAGTGAATTGTTAAACAGATCGACTATTATGAACCATTTCTGTTATATTAAGAAAAAAAATATTATTTATTAACTGAATAATTTTGTTAAAGTATAGGTAGCGTTTTCAGAAAAAAAAAAGATGAAATTCAACTGTTTTAGGAAAATGAAATTTGATTTACTTGTCATATTCAATGGAAACAAAAATTTATTTGTAAAAATTAAAAAAAAAATACATCGGTAGTTTGAGAAAAAACATCTCTTTAAACATAAATAAGGGAAACACTGATTGTAGATAGAAATTGTTAAGAGGGCGTCGAAATCTGAAAGGTCCTATGGAATTCCTTTAGGAATAACTACTTGGGAAATGACATTTCCACAATTGAGTTTAAACGCAACAGTAAATTTTAAAGATTGTAGGCTACAAATCAGATCTCATTTCTAAAAAATTACAGTCAGTTACAATGAGCAATTCATTTGAGTACTTTAAGGCATTTCCACGTGTTTCGCCACTTCATTCTTATTAGCTTGCCTAATGGTTTGTGAAAATTATGTACTAGTCGAAATTTACATAATCCATTTAAATTAGGGAAAAGAAAAGCTTTAGTTTATTTGCTCAACTTTCCATTCATCAAGTCTTTACTTTTAAACATGAATTACATGTTCTGAACGATATTGTTAGTTAAAATTAAGAATTTTTCTGGCTAGCGTTTTCCAGTAGGTTTGCTTTTAACTGGATGCGGCGGCTAACCGAGTGCCTGACCCTCCACCTTTATCAAGGCTAGGGACCAGTAGCAACACTAGAATTGCTTGGAGAGGAATGTCCTCATAATGGGGGAGACCAGGATACAGGATATAAACTAGTGGTGCTTGAAATAAAAGAAACCTAGAAGGAACAAAAAGATTAGCTTCAGAAGAGATGCTGTTGTAATCCGGCCATGAAAAACGAAATGCCTCACACACAAGGTGTTGCATTGATGCCGTCCAAGGAAGGCCAAAAAGCACTTATAGAATGGGAATCTCATGGATCCATGATCATCAAAGCATCCTTTAGGACAAATAAAGAGAAAATCACAATGAATACTATGCAATTCTATGCTCCTACCAACGATAATAATAATAATCAGGACGATAAATATCGATTCTGTGAGAGCTCGCAGTCAATCGTCATGAAATATTCAGCAAGGGATTTGACTTTTTTATGGGGGACCTAAAGGCCAAGGACGGAATAGACAACACCGGATATGAAGACATGATGGGACGACAAGGACTGGGAGAAAGAAGCTGAGACGATGAGAGATTCGCAAATCTATGTGGTTTCGGTGAAATAGTTATAGGCGACACCATATTCCCTCTCAGATGAATACATAAAACCACATGGGCTTTCCCGGAGCACACTACTTTGAACTGAATCAATCACACATGCATCAGTAGAAAGTTCAGAAAGACCAGGGAGGATGTAAAAACCAGGAGAGAAGCTGACACAGTTCAGAATATCACTTGGTAGTGGCTGAGATAAAACTGAAACTGAAGAAGCACTGGACAACTGGGTGAACAGCATTACAGACGTTTAATACGGCCTTTCTTCGGGATACTGACAAACTCAACGAATTCAAGATAGCCCTCGGCAATAGGTATAAAGCATATCACGATCTGCTGAATGAAGAGGAAACTACCATAGAGAACAATTGGAGAGGAGTCAAAGAAGTGATGAATTCGGCATGTTGAGGTTTTAGGCCACAAGTAGTCACATCACAAGAAAAAGATCTATGTTAATACTCTGGATGAGATTCAAGAGAAGGAGAACAGAAAGACAGCAATCAATATCAACCGAAAAACAAAAAGCCGAGACAAAGGCCAAACCCTCAGAAGCAAAAAAGGGAGCGAAATGGAGCCTTAGAAACAACAAAAGTATATATGTGGGAGATCTAGCAATGATAGCAGAATGAGCAGCAAGAAAAGGAAACATGAGACAACTAATGAATGCAACGAAGCAGCTTGCTGGAAACTATAGAATAGGTCACTCCCACAGAACCAATCTAGCATCCAAGACGCACACACAGACCTTCATATAAATGGTAATCCACTAGCAATGTAAATTCGCATAGCTATCCAACACATCATTATTGAGTAAAGCAGCGAAACGCCACACCATGCCAGCTGAGGTACAGAGGTAGACAGAGAAATCACTGTAAATAAGTTTCACATTCTCTTCAGCGAGATTTAGGAGGAAGAACAAGTACAAATACACTGGAAAGAAGGGCTTGAGATCAAAATAGGAAAGAAAGGGGATCTCAGTAATTGTGAGAGCTAAGGAGGGACCAATTTACTCTCAACTCCAGGAAAATTCTTCAGTAGATTGTTGAAGTACAAAGTGAAAGATTCCGTAGACGCCCAACTTCGATATCAGTAGGCTGAATTCAGCAAGGATCGGCCATGTACCGAAAAAATCACACGCGACACTACGGATCATTAAGGAACAGTCAGTTGTGTTGGGATAGCCAATCGAGAAGAAAGCCACGCATATTGTGGATTGATGAACTATTTGATTAATGTTCATGATGAACTATATGAATAATGTTCATGATAAACTATTTGATTAATGTTCATGATGAACTATTTGATTAATGTTCAAAATATTTAAATTGTATAAATACGCATGTTTGATTGTATATTTTTGATTCTGATAAGAAGTGTTCTCCAACGTCTTCCGTCTTCTTATTTTTGAACGGAGGGGTCTAACGTTCGGGTGTCATTAGTACAGTGGTTTGGCGTTACATCAAGTACAAAACATAAAAAGTTGAAAGAAACTCATCGCTGTACATCAAATCCACTGACTACGATAAATCATTTGATAGCACGGTCAGGACGACACTTTGGAGGCTTCTTTGACATTACGGTGTACTTGAAAAGGTAGTCGTTCAAATTCTTACGATGAAATACACTGAGGAATAGTGCATGGAGGACAGTTTATAGGCTGATTCCAAGCGAAAATCTGTCTCAAACAAGACTGCTCTCTGTCGCCCCTTCTCCTTCTTCTGGCGGTAGATCAGATTATGAAAACCTCAACCTCTTGGGATGAGCAAAAAATACAGTGGACAGCTTGGATACAGCTAGGCCATTTGGACTTCTCAGATAACCCAGCTTATTGATCCTACACACAGCAACAAAAGCGTCTGAACACGGTGGTTTTGGTAGCGAATTCTGCTGCAGTAGGTTCCAACATACACAAGAGAAAAACAAAGATCCTACGATACACCACAAGCACGCGAAACAGTAAAACAGCTTGGATGTGGCTAGATGACTTGGACTTCGCAGATAATCTAGCTATACTATCTCATACACAACAACAGATGCAGCTCAAGACAGACAGAGTAACGACAGCTTCTACAGCACTGAGTCTCAAAATATAAAGCAGGATCGTCAGATACAACGCACAGAATACCAACCAAATCATACATGAC